CACCTGTGTTAAGTGGTTACTGGAGCCCATAGACATCTACAACGTAGATGCGCCACCCACCTTGAGATATAAGTTCTAAGGTCTCGAGTATAGTTACGACGGCTGCCCCACCCTTAAACACATTACTGTTTCACGGCAGAAAGCGGCAGGTAGAGGTCCTACCACCAGTAAAGATGTAGGTGGCGGAATTTACGTTTTAGATGTCTGCGGGCTCCGGTAACCACTCAACATCAGGTGGGCCGTGAGCTCGTCCACCCACCAAAGCAAAAATAATAATAATAATAATGATAACATAATATTTTATTAGAGATTAAACCGTCAAAGTATTATAGTTTTCATTATTATTTATATTATATTATTAATAAAATGAAGTAATATATATTTACGCACACATAAATAGTACTAGTCATATATTCTGGAGTATCTCGGAGATATTGCCAAGAGAAACGAAGATAACTTCGAAAAACTAAAAGACAATTACCAATATTAGGAAAAAGCTTGCCTGCCTGTAGGTCGACGCATTGGTCAGAGCAAATTCTCACTGCATTCGGCTTTATCTGATCTAACAAGAGATAGGACAATTTCACACGACCAGCGGAGGAGGAGTAGGTACTGTTTCTGAAACTTAAGCCAGGCTGTTCAAACTATTTTATTACAAAACATTTATGTAACGTAATGCACTCGACTATTAGACAAATGTCTAGTATGCGTGAGGCTCTGTTGCATGCACACATACAAATGTGGTAATTTTAATGGTTTGTTTGCACTCATTCCCATTGTACAAAAAACAAAGCAGAATAGTGCAATCGTTCCTTATGTTGGTCTAGACACGCTCACGTGCGGACCTCTTGATCTTAAATAAATCAATACGTATTTTATTTACTCCATCAGCATACATCATAAATTTTAAAATGTGAAAATATACACGTACGACCTCGACGGGGCAACTTAAATTCACCGTTGTCCGAAACATATCTTATACCCCAGACTCACTCCTGATGCCTTTAGACCTCTCGAGCACCGGTCACCGTCCTCGTTAGAGCGAACTAACCCATAAACACAGCCTACTAAGTTTCTCACCGGATCTCCTCAGAGGGTCGCGATTCTGAGCCGGTGGTAGATTCTGAGAAGCATTGCTCTTGCTAGGGCTAGTATTAGCAAATTCTCTCAGGTTGGGCCCGTGAGCTCACCTACCCGTCCGGGCGTAGCTGCAATAGCCTCTTAGGCTACCAGCGAAAAGCTAGGAAAAAAAATGCCGCTGGCCACCTTTTTTATTATCTCGTATATAGGCGAAAGAGCAGATAGGATTTAGTGGTTACTAGAGCCTAATCCTGTTAAAGAGTAGAGTAAATTAATATGAAAACAAACAAACAAATTTCAAAGTTATCAAATATCTGAACGTATTGTAGAGCGCACCAACACCTGAACTGATGACCACGACCACTCTGCCAATAGTGAAAACGGTTGAGAAGAAGAAATATCTGAAAAATAATAATATCTTGTCTCATTATATAACTTATACCTTACATGTATTTTATATGTAGTAGGTAGGACAACAAGATTGAGACATCGACCTCATACTTATGTTCTTCGCTAACCATTTTACACCAGGTGGGTCGTGGATTAGATCTCCAGTCATTAAAACCATTAAAAAATTTATGCATGTTAGTATTACAAGCAATCTTTCTGTTTCATATTCTAGTCGTAGTTACGTCACTTAAGGAGATTCGTTTAGCACTAGATTTAAAAAAATAACTTAAGCCTTTCCTAGTGGCTCGGAGGCCTTTCTAGTTTCACCAGGACAGGAACATATACGATCACGCTCTTCAACAGCAAGAAGTTCTTAAATAAATGTTATGTAATTTATATCTAAAACTTAGGTATTATTATTTGTTCAACAATTTTTGCTTCCGAGCCATTTGTGATATATTATATCTACTGACTTTCTGACGAACTAACCGTTAATAGTTCAACAATCACATTCATAAAATTATTATGTGGATGTGTTATGTCACTAGTGACGATTTGAAGTCTTTTGAACCAAAACATTAACCTACGCTCTTACTATGATACGTTTATTAGCAGTGAATGTAAATATTGCTTTGAACAAGCTAGAGGAAACTGTAGTTTGTTTAAATCTAAAGTTAATCGAAACGATATAAGTGATTGTTTTGACGGGTTCTACTAACACCGAAACGCAATCAGGGACGTGTGGTTACGTTATGAAGTGGACGTCGTGATCCATGGAGGTCAATTGCTACCTATCCATACTGAATATGTAGGTTCGTCGATGATCTCACATGTACTAAATGCATAAGATTACAAACATTATTTTTTTCGGCATTCATTCATTATATTTAAGAAAAAAATATATCCACAGAACCAAAAAATGTATTTAATTTTAAGACTGATTTATCATTGCTGATTTTACAGCTAGCCAGTCGTCAATTACCACGAAAATTGTAAAATATACGAATCATCGGAAATTATGCAAAATTAAAGCTTAAAATGATTTCATACCAGTAGAGATACTACAGTGTACTTACTACACAAGTACCTAATTTATCATTAATAATAATAATCATAACAATAATTAACAGTCAATGCAGAATAGTTAAAATGTTGTAAATGTGTGGTAAGAATTTATTATCAGTAAGTATATAATGAGCTGTGAGTTTGCCAGTCCTTAAATTGTCCATAAACAACTGTTAAACTGAATACTGAACTTTTTTTAGGTACAGAATAGTTATAAATTCTATTTAGAATAGTTATAGATAATTGTGTAATTTGATTTAATTGCGGTTTAAGATATAAATTTTTTACAAATAATTGAAATGGCACGGTAGTAATATTACGTATTTTAACGGATCGCCACGAATGAACCCGTCCGTGTCGTCATCAGTCTTTTATAAACCGATTATTAATTTTAGAAAGTACCTAAAATGAAACGTATTTCGTTAATTGCTTATTATAATATTTGCAAGCTGCAAATTACTCCCTGGTTGCAAATTAAACATAACATAGGTTTTTTAAGTGAAATGATATGAATCGATATAAATCGATAGGTATATAAAATAATTTAAATCGATATTGTGCAGTTATGTCGACTACTAGACCAGCTATTGTGTTTTCTGGACATAAAACGACTGTTCAATTTTTATGTTTGGCATGAATGTTTTTCTAATTATTTGTGACAAAAAGAATTGTTTGCGACATACTTTTTAGGATTTGATAGATGAATAGCGTAAGCCACAATTACAAGCTTACATTTTCGACCTCTTGGTAGGCGTAATTATCCGTATTTTAATTCTGTAATTATAGTTTAAAATACGGTTTTATGAACCTCTATAAACACATAAAATCTACAAAAATAATAGGATTGTCGACAATTATTTTCATTGTCAATTAAAATAAATTATAATAATTATTATTTCAATAATGCTAGTGCAAGATTTTGAACCGTTTAAGGAAAAGAGACAAGTACATTTCTACTTCCTAGGATTCCCCTCGTATGCCAGTTTGGGGATCGGCGAGGGAAACCGAATAAGACGTGTACGCTGCTAGCGTCTTGCGAAAGTGCGACCAGGTAATGGATACGCCGCGCTCACCCACACTGCTTCTGACTCAGTTGATGCACGTCACGGTCATCAAGATAGACTTCGCATAGTCCCGAGGAGGCCAATGATTTTAGCGTCGATGGCCACTACTCCGGCGTCCTGTAGGAGTGGATTGGCGAAAGGATAATCCCATAACCTTGCCCCGGCTCGGTTGATTTCGGTCTTATCCCAGTTTTAGAGGTGCTATTGGCTTTGACTTTATTGACAGGAGACTTTAATCCAATCGACTCTAATGTACTCCGCTACCTGCCCTCAAAACGGAGGTCGAAACCGGGAATTCCTCATGATCCAAGAAAATACCTTTCCAATTACTTTATGTTAGGTAGCAATACTACATGATCAGCGGATTGAACACGGCACCTAGGTTATATATAGTACGGTAACCAACATTTACTACACATAAAGTAAATTGCGCAAACATTTTTGTTAAAAAATCAAGACAATTCAGTTGTTAGTCAATAAGGCCGTCACCTGAAGAGCTTATGTTTTTTATCTCGATCGTGGTCACTGGATGGTTACTAATGTACCTACCTAATGGAAAGCAATTACTTCATCATACGCGTCTCAGTGCAAACTGCAATGTTTCACATCTGAACGCAATATTCAGGCTATTTTACAATCTACAATTTTGCATGTAGGTATGAATGTATGTCATGTCACATGTGGATAATCATCTCCTCATTTAGGTACCTTCGTAGCATTTTCTGTTAATAATGTGTTAATTTTTTCTCTATCTTGTTCTAATTTAAACTGAAATTTTAGCATTCCAGTGATCACCATCACTCACGAGAGCCAGGGCACATTCAAGCCGCTGCCTACAGCTGAGGATTATCTGCGAACCTCATTCGAAGGATATGTCATGGGCCCTCAGAAACCGTCGAGGAACGAAGTATTTGTATATCCTTTAAAAAACCTCAATCGATTAACTGAATTACTTATAGATAGGTATAAAATACTTGACCCATAATTAATTATTAAAAATTTGAACGCCGTTATAATTTTGAATACAAATATTTTAAGGACGATTAGACTAGTTAGACTAGAGTTACTTTAATTACCTTCATTATTAAACACCACTTTTGAGGTTTGGAACTCAGCCTCACCTCAGCCTCAACTTAGAACTAATCTTTGAAGTAGTAATCTAGAACTAATCTAGAACTTAGAAAATCAGTACCGTAATTTTTTACCTATTACTAAAATGCTCAGAAACTTGATGGCCCAAGGGACAATGGGTTACATCACATTGACCGCGGAACTGCTTCCGTTCTCCTCTTGACGGCTCGCGGCGGCCGCGAGCGAAGCTCCGCGAGTGGGAGACGCCCGCTCCACATATATAATGCGGTTTGTTCGAGTTCCCAGCATGCAGTTTGCACATAGCTTCATCATCATGAAGGTAATATCACTTTATACCTACACAAGAATACCGTGCTAGACTAGTTGCCTTTATCGCTGATTATTTTTTCCCATTCACATTATTATCTTAGCAAATATTCATTGTAATTGCTTTTCTTTTATTTGAATTAAAATTGGGATACCAACTTGGTTGTAATTAGGTTTCGAAATGATATTTATGTAACATCAAAGCTCATAACATTTTCGCGCACTAACAATAACTTGGTAAAGTTATGAGAACTGTGATCGTTAAAATAAATTTAAATTAAAATACTTCTAATTTAATGACAGTGAAATGTCTTTTTTTAATATGTATTTCATCAAAAACTATCTGAAGAACGTACTACATTTTATAAAAATAGTTGAACTAATTTTACCTCCTTTGGATTATTAAAAAAGCGTGGGGTCAATGGTATCAGTAGCTATAAATATTTTATGAACTAATATGAGTAGAAGGGTTATTTTGTTAATATCCTGAAAACCACTCCACGCTTTTTTTACAATAAAATCATTTTGTCTTACACTATCTTTAATTAAAAATTTTTAAAATTTATTTTCTATTTTTTAGTTGGACTTTCTAAAAAACCGTATTTTGTTGGTTTTTTAAACTATTATTGATTTTTAATATTTTAGTTGAATTTCAATTATTTTTTTCATTTTTTTTAAAAATATTGATTTGTCATCGGTCCTTAATAAATATACTAAATTTCGAGTTAATCCGACGTTTTGAAAATCATGTTCAAAGATTCCGTTACCAACATAGATACGTTTGAAGCTAATAAAAGCGTATTAAAAATATTCTAAATGGTTTTGATAAATATTTTTAATTGAAATATCTTTTTCATTTATAATTTTCATTACTTTATTTGTGTCTTGATAACATTGAAGTTACTCCAAATGGTTCGAACTACCTATAGAAAACTCATATTAGTGTTTTTGCAATACCTCTTCTATGACTGATTAAATAAATGTTAGTCATTACACTAGATAGAATGATAAAGGAATAAAACATAAAATGTAAACAAACATTTCATGAACAGATTTAGGTAAGCTCCACAGAGTTTTTACATTTAAGTTGAGTGTGGTTGAGACAGAGTGAGAGAGGTTGAGAGGTGAAGGTACCAAAAATAACCCATCCTCATTTCATTTGAGAAATATAATACTAAAGTATATTCTCACACGACATAAGCTTACTTTCAATTTTTTCGTTTTCGATATCACGCAGATACTTGTGAACTATTGCACAACTTGTTCCATATTGATCATCGGTCCCTACTCAGACATTAATGTTTAATCAAAGCAAATAGACACAAAGGCATTCTATTATGTCTTGGTATTTAATTCATTTTTTGTTTTTAATTCTGACACCATTGGTATTAAATTTTATCAGGCCGATGTAATTGGCATTTTCGATAGGCGGCGCGGCAGTGACTTTGTTGAAACAAAATAAGAATCTGTCATAAAAATATTAACTATGGAAAACTTGTTTCAAATAATGTTATTTTTATTTTTCAGGTATTCGTTTGCTTGTTGGCGTTAGCCGTAGCCGCAAATGCCGGCTTCATCGGCGGTGGAGGTGGCGGTTGGTCTGGCGGTGGTGGCGGTGGATATGGCGGCGGAGGCGGCAGCGGATGGAAATCAGGCGGCGGCGGCGGCTGGTCCGGAGGTGGCAGTAGCGGATGGTCTAGTGGCGGAGGAGGTGGAGGCTGGTCTGGCGGTGGTGGTGGAGGCTACGGCGGCGGTGGACACGGCGGCGGAAGTGGTGGACGTAAGTTTAAATCAACACTATGCGCTACCAGAATCGTAATAATAAGGACCAATTGTTTTTTTTTGTTTGGCAAAATGTCGCAGATACCATAAGATGTTAGGGAACCGTTTCCAAGGCTCAAGGAATTAATATTAAACTAACATTAATGAAAATCAATATTGATCCGTTAAATTAGAAATAAATACTATCGTTTTAGCAAGTTCCTAATATTCAAGGAAGTTATTATACGATAACCAATATCTCTAAATAGCTCAAAAATAACAATATAAGAAATATATCTACCTATACTTACATTATTGATATGTTGTGAAGTTTGAAAATATGGGTGTATTTTTAATATAGTTCTCTCACTATTCTAATAGAAGTCAAGATCATCAAGATCATAACCACCGGCGGAGGCGGAGGCGGCGGCGGCGGCTTCGGTAAGTTCCATCTTTAAAATACGAGTATCTGACATCCATTGAAATTATTAATAATTCAGCCGTTCCATTCCATCCAACCACTGCGTTTCTCCAGTGCATTCCAAGAGTCCATTTTTTCCATGTAACCTCCGAGTCAGGAATGGTTTTATTTCCTGAATGCCTTTAAAAACGTTTCTTAACCTTTAACCTGTAATAAACCTTTCTTCAAACGCAGTTTCAAAAAGAATCATGCATGATAGAGAGCGGTTTGACTATGCTTCTTGCATTACTGTTATGTTCTTGAGGGAGAATGACCAGTCGACACCAGGGAGCCATATTATGCTCGTGTGACATAACCGTAAGAAAAATGCAAGAGCATTTTTTGCGTTACAATTTGGAATACACTTGAGACTTGCAGATTTTGTCGCGAAACAGGGGGCAGTATTTGCTTAGTGATGTCTATGAGCCACGGGAGCACTTAGCACTCATCTGCCCATCTAATGCTATTAAAAAGTAAAAAACTCATAGATACATTTTAACTAAATATTTCGTTAGGCATTGCCAATACAATTTCCGATTAGTTCCAAGAGACTAACATAGTTTTAGCTTTAACTGCACATCAACGAACTATACGATTATATTTAGTAACAGTAACATCTTAGAAGGGTCATCCAATCGCTCTTACGATGTCGAAGGAAAACTAAGGTTGCAAGATTAAGAATTTCGCAACAACAAAACGCGCATAGTCATTACCTTAGTAGTTTAGAATTCGTGTTCTGTAAAGTCCATTTGCTACGCGCCGGATCGTTTGTTTGGGTCGCTCGATCGTATGAACCGAAGTGTGAACCTATGAGCAAAGCGTTAGCGGTGGAGCGAACTCTCCACTTGGTGGTAAATATGTTGCATGTAGTTAGCGTTTTCCAAGGACGCTGGCAGCCAGGAATACGACCAAGCTGCTGTTAATGCATGTGTGAAACTTTTAACTGGGCCGGGTTCACAAAATACTGTTATTAAGCCGCTATGTAGCACAAATTTGTCGCGACGTAATACGAGTGAAGCATTATCTTTCTCTTCGACGAAACAGATGACGTAGCGTCGTACTAACGTAACCTAACGCAATATTAACGATATATAACTATTTATTTTAATTTCAAATAATAATATATTTTATATCTTCTACTTTTTATTAAATTCAGCATCTTAATCGATTGTTTTATGATAAAACTCGTTCAGAAACATTGTTTTATGGTAGGTGGTGGTCACGGAGGATGGTCCGGCGGCGGCGGTAGCAGTGGCTGGAAAAGTGGAGGCGGCGGAGGCTATGGCGGTGGTGGACTAGGCGGCGGCAGCGGTGGCTGGAAACTCGGTGGTGGAGGCGGTGGCTGGTCCAGCGGCGGTGGTAGCGGCGGTTGGTCGAGCGGCGGTGGATCCTCCGGATGGTGGTGATCATCATTACGACGAACAAGCATAGTACAAATACAGTGATACCTTTAATTTGTTTTTTTCTTGTCTTACCACATCCCCTACATACATAAGCGTACATGCATTACATTTTACAAATTTAAATATTGTCTACAACTTTTTACTACTTGACCTAAATTAAATTAACTTTTTAATATTATTAAATATAAAATTAAATTAAATAAACCTAAATTATGGGTTTATTTATCATTTAAAGAATATTTAATCCTAAAAGCCTTAGTAGCCCAGTAAATTGAGAATCATTCAGATATGTCATGTATTTTCAGTAACAACAGTCTTGACAATATATAAAGCAAAAATTTAACCAAAACATAAATATAAAGTCAAATTCAAAGTTCAAAAAATTTTCGCGATATCAAAGAACTCAATAACAATAAGTCTTAGAAATATTATATCATTAAATTATATATAATTTCATAATTCGATTTCAAAATTCCAATACTTTTTTGCCTAATTAGGCAATTGCCGAAAAAATAAGGTAATGTTTTCCGAGCTTTTATTAGATACGAGTATACCTACTTGCGACGGATTTCAGCATATGAAAATTAAATGTCATTAAATTCATCTCAGCCGTGGGAGTCTTAGGTTATACTCACATACTATTTCAATATGTTAAAAGAAACAAAAAACACTGTTTCATTAAAAATGCTAACTAAATAAATAATAGTTTAAAAAAACATTTTTATAAAATATTCAACTAAAAAATAGAAAATACATTTGAATTAAAAATAGTGTAGTAAAAAATAATTTTATTGTAAAAACCGTGGGCTGTTTTTCAGAATATTATCAAAATAACCCTTCTACTCATATCTGTTCATAAAATATTTATAACTACTGATACCATGAACCCCACGCTTTTTTTACAATAAAATCATTTTTTCTTTCACTATTTTTAATTCAAATTTAGAAAAAAAAAATCTATTTTTAGTTGTATTTTCTATAAAAGCGTATTTTGTTAGTTTTTTTAAACTATTATTTATTTTTTAGTTGAATTTAATTTTTTTCAAAAAAAATTGTTTAATATTGGATTGTCATCCTTAATAAGTATTCCAAATTCGAGTTAATTCGACGTTTTAAAAGGGGTCAAAATAATGTTCAAAGATTCCGTTACATACTAATATACATACGTCTGAAGCTAATAAAAGCGCGTTAAAAATGAAAAATTACAAAGCATAATATGTATAACTTTGTAATTTAAGCGTTAATTAAATCATCGGATAGAACCTGGCCTTCGGTTACTCCCCTACTGCTGTTCACGCAGGAGCAAATCAGCGCGATGCCCTAGACACACCTTACGAATCCATCAGATCCATTAACCCTTGCATTAGACGTTTTGAGCTCTAGCACTAGGAGCAGGCTTAGGGGCCCCCCAGTAACTGTAATTGTCGAACTCAACAAAGAGTTCAGCCGCGCTGAGTTTCTCGGAGAATCTTCTCAGCGGGTCACGATTCGGATCCGGTAGTAGATTCATTATGCGAAGCAGCTGCCCTTGAGTTGTCAGGTGTCTTTCGGAGGTGCTCGGGCGGCTGTTAGCAAATCCCAGCTCTTGGCTAAGCCATTGCTTGCCCATCTGTCAAGGTGTAACTGGAAAGGCGTTCGGCCACCAGTAATCCTTACTTTAAAAAAAAATAGGCCATTTGTTTTTTGATTCTCACTGCTCGCAACGACCGGACAGAATCATAGATAGTACACAGAACGGAATCTCTTTTGGTTGTTTTAAAGGACAAGAGACCTATTTTTGAGACTATAAATGCGCAATTGTTGATTATGTGTTGACTATTCTTGTGTGTCTATGACATGTGTTTAAGGTCATTTTCATCGTTTAAAGCTGGATTAAACGGATTTCTTTTTATATTACATTTTTTAAGGGGTTCCATTTCTGAACCTAAAAATATTTATAATATAGAATTATAATTTTTAATGCCGTCGGAGTTTTTGTTTCAATTAATAATTTATTTTCCTTAAACAGAATTTACAAGTGTCATGGCTAGGACTGCGTACGGCAATTACTACAGCAACAGGAGAAATTAATCTTTGTAGACATGAGACATGAACTAAATATACTTATTTTAATCCAACCATTAAGGCACTGGGTTGTGTATGAGCTGTGAAGAGAACTGAGAGCCCGTTGGTCGTGATGGGTCCGAATATGGCGAATCTTGTGATTGATATTTCGCGGTGTTNACAAGTGTCATGGCTAGGACTGCGTACGGCAATTACTACAGCAACAGGAGAAATTAATCTTTGTAGACATGAGACATGAACTAAATATACTTATTTTAATCCAACCATTAAGGCACTGGGTTGTGTATGAGCTGTGAAGAGAACTGAGAGCCCGTTGGTCGTGATGGGTCCGAATATGGCGAATCTTGTGATTGATATTTCGCGGTGTTTAATATAGCGGTAATCTTAAACTACACTTATAGTACCTTCTTAAAGATCTTACTCTACTCGTATTTACTGAAAGCTAGATGTGGGTATTTTTTTCTCATTAATAAAACTATCGACTATGAGCATGCCTCTGTATTGGATTTTTCTCAAAATGTTACAAAACAATTAACATTTTAAAACTTAATAAAATATAACATACTAATAATAAACCATACATCAAAACAAAAAATAATTAAATTAAACAAAAAATGATTATTTTTTAATTTTCTTTTTTTTTATCTTTTCCCTTCTCTGTCGATTTGGATTGAAATTCTCCTTTTCAGATGAATTAGAGCTATTAGGCGTGAAACCACGTGGTTCACGCCTAAATCTTTTGCTATGGTCTTCAAAATCTTCTATTTCAGTTAAAACGGCATACCTGTAAATAAAACTTAATCTTTATACTCCATTTATGAATCATTTTAAATTCCACCCAACTGGTTTCATGAACAATTAACAAATGGATACGTATTTGTGAATTTAGTTTAATTTTACTAGTAAATAGTGGTTTTTTTTTAATTCAAGTAATATATACGTGGAACTTTCGATGTTAATAAAGTCAGGAACACTCTGAACGACAGGTTATTTGCTTTATGCGACATTTTTACAACTTTACCGGAGAGCGGTTTAAAGTTTAAAAATTTGGAAAAAAATATCATAAATAATCTACAGCTATTTGAAAGGGGTAAACTTAATTAAAGTCCAATTAAAACATCGAATAGTTGATAGTAATACCAAATAAAACAGACCTTTAATTACAAAGATAAATGTCGCTTATTAAGCGAAATGTCGATTAAACCAAATAGCCCTCAATATATATTTTTTCCATACAATAACTTACGGATCCTCGTTTGGTCTGTGAATGTCAGCAACAACTTCCAGCATTGCACCTCCAACGTCACTTTCACTATCAGACTCCTCTATGATTATACCAACAGGCCTTTCTGGTCTGTTTTGGACTTTTTCTGTATTAAATTCTAATAATTCCAATGTTTTGCGTTTCTCAATTTCTTTTTCATCTGTTTTATCACTAACCTTAAGGTTTCTATCTCTACTTCTGGGTTCTTTTGATAAAATTTCTATATCTTTATTAAGGAGTTCATTAGTATTATGTATATCACTTATATCAGTTTGTACTACAGTTGAATGTATGTTAGATTTTATGTTATTTTGATTTGTATCAATCTTAATGATAGCTGTAAAACTTTTATTTTCAATGGTAACAGAAACATTATTTGTAATAGTATGAGAGTTCCTTAACCTCTCATTCTCTCTAAAAGCTTCTTTATTACAAAATGAGCATGTCTCTATTAATTTACTTCTTTTATAAAATGGCACATGGTAGTCATCCAACAAACTTTGTGTTTTCGTTATTGCTAAATCATCTTTGTTACAATGGTTTCCAGTTAATTGGGAATTATGGTTATTTCTATTAGCTTCTATGACAGCTAATAAGGCCTCAACATCTTTATCTACGGATGTTTGTGTATCATCGATCACAATGAGTTCATCATCTACAACTATGCCACTTTCATCATTGTCGTTTTTGTTCATACTTAAGTGAGAATCACAAATGAGATCTCTTTTTGTTCGTTTAGGATTTTTTACTGATTCATCTGATTTTTTTAATGTTTTCACAAACACTTGATTTTTACTCAAGTTATGTGTTGTTTTCTTATACCTCTTTCGGTTTTTATTTTCATTTTCGCAGTTTATATTTTTTACTATCTTACTTTCACCAAGTACTCGAAGATCATTATTATAATTAATATTTGAGAATGGTTTCCTTTTCAAATTTTGCTCATTTTTTTGAAGCCATAGCTGCACGTAATTAACAGAATCATTCATTTTAGTATTGCGCAACAACGAAATATCTTCACCCGGCAAAAAAGACAAATTATTTTCCTTATTTTTAACTGATCGACTGTAGCTTTTATTTTTATTGTAGTACTTTAATGGTGCTTGAATACACTCAGGAAATAGCTCTTTTTCAACTTTTAGTTGGTCGGATAATCTTTTTCTTCTGTATACTGCAATACAAAATTGACACATAAATAAATAACTGGGAACAAATCAGGCACATTACCCATTTAGGATTCCCTGTTGTGGGTACCAGAGAGTGACAAACATACTTATAAACATTTTAATATTTACATATATAGATAATAGACACCTAGACAAAGAGCAAATAAACCTGTTCATCACACAATATTTGTCCTATGGGGAGATCGAACCCATGACCCTCAGCGCAACAGTCAGGGACATTATCTACTGCACTACTCAGTTAGTCGGTCAGTCACATACGAGCCCGATGCAAAAGAGTTCGTCTAGTGTGAAATTTTCTCTGTGAGATTTTTTCTAACTTCATTATTTTCTTATATCTATAGAAAATATTAAGCTGTTCTACTATCGCGTGTCGCGTTACTTACGCCCTTTTTTAATGATGAACCAATAACCTATTTTAGATTTTTAAATTTATAGATATCCTGTTTTCAATTCGAAGAAGTTATAAGCAACAAAATAGTTCGTCTAATTGTTAATCGATGCAAATAAGATGCAAAAATAAGATTATTCCTTCTTTGTACAATTAAGTTGCATAATTTAAATTTGGAAAAGCAATACTGTGTTATTTGTCAAGTGAGACAGTATAAATTCTGAAAATTTCAGTTATTTTCATTAATTTTCAAATAACAATGGATCGTGGCAAATCCGTGTGTGAAGAGCTTCGAAAGCGAATAGTTGTGGGGCGATGCTGGCAACTCATGTTACCAAATATCTAAAGACTTGATACTTTCCAGATCTACAGTCCAATCTATCATTCAGCACTGTACAAAGAATAGAACGACTTCTTGTTTGAAGAAAACTGGTCGACCACGCATCACGAGTGCAGCAGAAAACAGAATCCTGAAGAAAATTATCAAAAATAATCGTCGTGCTCGAGCTGGAGAACTCACGGTGCAATGGAAGGACGTGGTTCACAAAGACGTCTAAGTTGATACAAAAGAGTCCTAAAAAGAATGGGTTTTACACCGCTAAGGAGAAACCACTGTTGACTGAAATGAAGTCGTCATGGCCTAAAAGATAAGACGTCCGGTGCATTCGTGTTGAAGCGATGCACCGGTGTTCGAATCCCGCAGGCGGCTACCAATTTTTCTAATGAAATACGTACTCAACAAAATATTCACGATTGACTTCCACGGTATAGCATCGTGTAATAAAAGTGAAACCCGCAAAATTATAATTTGCGTAATTACTGGTGGTAGGACCTGTTGTGAGTCCGCGCGGGTAGGTTCCACCGCCCTGCCTATTTTCTGCCGTGAAGCAGTAATGCGTTTCGATTTGAAGGGTGGGGCAGCCGTTATAACTATACTGAGACCATACAACTTATATCTCAAGGTGGGTGGCGCATTTACGTTGTAGATGTCTATGGGCTCCAGTAACCACTTAACACCAGGTGGGCTGTGAGCTCGTCCACCCATCTAAGCAATAAAAAAATAAAAAACTGCTGTACAAAAGAAAAAGAAGCTGAAGTTTGCTCGTGATCATTTAAATTGGACTTCCGATCAGTGGCGTAGTATCATTTGGAGTGACGAGTCCAAATTTTTAAGTGACAGTCGGCGATGGAAGGAAAAAAGTGATTCGGAACAAAAATGAGGCGTTTCATACTGATTGTCTCAAACGCGAAGTGAAGTTTCGTCTCTTATGATATGTCTGCACAAGGTGTTGGTGGTATGCAGTTTGTGGATGGTTCTATCAATGCTGCGACGCATCAAAACCTTTATGAGAATTTACTGCCCTCTATTCCGTCACTCAAGCATCAAGATTCCTTCATTTTTCAACAGGACGTTGCTTTCTGCCATACTGCAAGGACAACAAAGACGTGGCTACTGGCGAAAAGCATCTCTACAATCGAATGGCCATCTAACAGCCCGGACTTGTCGCAGATCGAATCCCTATGGTGGAAAATGAAAAAAGTTCTTCGTAAATATCCATCAAGATCGAAGAGCGACTTAAGGCTTAAACTCTTGGCTGTCTGGGAGCCCATTAAACCTGAGGAATGTGCAGCGTTGGTGGCAACCATGCCTCTTCGTATTAAATCTGTCATTGAGAGCAAAGGCGACACAACTAAGTGGTAGACGAACTATTTTGCGTGAGTGACAAGGGTAAACGAATACTTTTTACTTGTTTTTTTAGATTATTTTTTTTGTTATGTAATGTCATTAAAGAATTTCAGTTATGTTAAAATAAACTATAAATTTTCCTCAAATTGTGGTTTACTTTTTATTAAAAGTTTTTAATTATTTTATCAATATTTACTTTCTATATTTTACGCTTTGCACTACCTACTTGCCAACTATTTTAAATTAATAATAAATGAGTATTTGTAATGTTTTTTCTCTTTTTTTTATTGCTTAGGCCCGCCACATACGGGCAGCTGCGACTGCATAGTGAACTACATACTTCTACGTACGTACATACACGAACTGCTCAAGCAGTTGCAACTGCTTCGGGCGGTTGGCAGCTCGGTGAAATTTCATCATGCGGTCAAGCAGTCGCCAGGCCATACACTGACTGCTCGAGCTGCCGACTGCTTTCGCGTAGTTACCTACGCCCGCGCTCTTCATTCCACGTCGCGCACGCTTCCCGGCCGCACGCTTCCTTTGTTTATTGAGAACACCAACTGCTCGAGCAGTTTATCAATGGCAGCTTCAAGCTGTTGACTCTGTCTACAAGAGCGGTTCGTGTATGTTGATCACTGGGTAACTGCTCGAACAGCCCTGTGTATGACGGACCAGGTTAGTGGACGAGCTCACGGCCCACCTGGTGTTAAGTGGTTACCGGAGCCCATAGAGACCTACGACGTAATTGCCGCCACCCACTTTGAGACATAAGTTTTAAGGTCTGTTTTTACAGTACAATAGCTGCCCCACCCTTCAAACCGAAACGCATTACTGCTTCACGATAGAAATAGTTAAGCCCGGTTTGCACCACGGAAGGGTGGGAATGAGTGGGAAATGGTAAGCGGAACGGACTCCTTTTAAACAAAATAGGTTTGCATTTCCACCAACAAAGAGTTTTGCCTGTTGACTTCCATCACAAATGGACAACGACAGCGATGAATCAGCTGAGGGAGCTGAACAGAATATGAGAAAGAGGAAATGAATAGTAAATTTCCACAGAAAGCGAGTTCAAGTTCGAGTTTTTAACGGTAGTTTTTTATTGTGTGAATTCGCGATGTTATCCAGTGACACGGAATCAAGTGAGGACAGTAATTATGTATACCGAAAGAAAAAGTATATAATAATATTATTATATCTTATGCACAGAAAAAATGTGCAAAACGAGCGAGTCCGTTTGAAATTAGTCGGCGAGACCGCGACGCTGCGGACACATGTTACTCGTTTGGTCCGCTCCGCTCAACTCTTTTTCGGTGGAAACAGTACTTTGTAAAATTCAATTGCGAATCGAAAGGACTCTTTAATGACCCCGGTCCGAATCCGCAGCTTCTTTTTGCCCTCGTTGTCATTTACACTCGACTCTTTGTTGCTGGAACATGTATGCAGTTTTGTATTGCGAGGTAAAAGGAGTAATTAATCCGTCCGTTACGTTACGCTCGCGGCGGAAGCCTGGCTGTAGGGTGGTGGTACCTACTCGTGCGGACTGACAAGACGTCCTTTTTTTTTTGGTGTGAGAGCAGACCGCGGGCCCAAGGAATTTTAGGGCCTACCCACTAAACTACTCCCCTGCACTCTTACACCCGACGTCCGATCTCCGTCCGGGGTCAAAACCCGGTCAGAGTAGGGGGGTTCCCGCGGTCAACACTACAACCAGACACGCGGCACCACCCCAAGGACGCCCGACCGACGGGTCGTCGAGGCGATAGTCGACGACCAACGACGTCGGTCTCTGCGGTACGGCGGCCCTGCCAGGCCGCCCGGGCGATGCCGCTGGTGTTCCGGGATACCCCGCTGGGCCAGAACCAGCCTGCCGGGTCGGAACGCGATACACCGCCGACCGGGTTGCTCTTCCACAGTATGTTTGGCGACGACAGCGACGACGAAGATGCGGACCGCATCGCAGTCCGCAGCCGCCGACACGTCGTCCCGTCCTCCTGGTGCCAACGCGCTAGTGACGGTAACGAGCGACGTAGTCTCAACCCCCTTAGGTCGCCCCGTGACCATCACCGGGAAGAGACTGCCTCCTCATAGGGGCCGGAGCTGGACAAACGCCCTCCTCCGAGCCCTGGCTCGACGGCAGCGCCACGGCGGCGAGAGGGAGGAAGAGTTCTCCCTCTCCCGTTCCGCCGCCTCCTTCTGCGAGATGGTGGACTCGCAGAAGTCGAGCATCGCCTGCCAGGACTCATCGCTGCCGAGCATCGTAGCCACGACGGTCCGAAGCGACAAGTCCGATCCTATTTTTGCAACGAGGAAGCGGCGCTGCTCCGCGAAAGCGGGGCAGTACGCGAGCGTGTGCTCCGCCGTGTCCTCGTTGCAGCCACTGCAGTGGTGGCACTTCGGCGTCAGCTCCCCCGTCGGTAATTATGCAAATTATAATTTTGCGAGTTTGATTGTTATTACGCTGTGTTATTCCTTCAGTGTAGAAGTTAATTGTGAACAATTGTTAAGTACATATTTCATTAAAAAAATCGGTACCTGCCTGCAAGGTTCGAACACAGATGCATTGCTTAAAAAAAAATGCACCTGACGTCTTATCCTTTAAGCCACAACGATCTTATCCTTCAGCCAGATATCACACAAATCACAGGAGAAACAATTCAGTATATTTTGTTCATGAAATAAATTATATGCATGGTTTTAAGTGTTTTAGAAAATCATAATTGAGATTTAAGTAACTGAAATAAAATAAGATTTTAATTTTTAGGGCTGGGCACCCTTAAACCTTAACCTTGAGGTGCTTAAAGACTGTGTTAAGCACCATATGGTGAGCAACATTATCTGTTCTGCCCATCTGAGAGGCAACTGTTTGAATTCTTAGGGGAGTAGGTAATGTAAGATTTTTCCCACAAGTAATGTTAGTTTTTGCTTGCTTTGCTGTTGTTAGTGCTTGCTTTTCCCAAATATATGTACATTTCACATTATGTTTACAAAATATTTTCAAATCAGTACTATTTTGCATGAGTCAAATCACTTCAGCTAAACATGGCTGAGACAAATAGGTTTGTTTGCTCTTTATCTCGATATTTAATATCTTTATATACATAAATTTAAAGACATATCGTATTCTCGCATTAAAACTGTATAATCTCAAAGCTTACTCATTTTACAGGATAGTGTTTTAAAGGTTTAACATGTGATATTTTTAATATTAATCATCTTTGCAACATTTATTTTTTATTTTTTATCACTTACATTATCGGTCTTTTAAAGTAAGATAAAATTATGTATTAATTTTGTTAATAGTAATCAAAACATAGGTAACCTAAAAAAACTAAAACCAAACTACGCTCTTTTGACAGTATTTATGAGAAAAATACTGGTGATACCAAATGATTCCGCATATTAACTCAATTTCGAATATTTTTGGAAAGTGTACACTTTTAATGTGAAAAAACGATATCAATATATATCTGTCTCAGAAATCTTCATTTGGGTCAAATCAGTGTGTGATTTGTTTTTGATTATTTTTTTAAGCCCACACACATTCGTCATTCACATAGTTACTGACTGTATAAGTAATATTCACTATTAAGGAATGGAAGAGAATACTGAAAGAGTTACAAGACTTATATAGGAACTGATCTCCATGAGACTTACTAAATCTTGGCATTGAAGTCAATTTTATTCTTGGAAATAAATTGAAATTAACATCAACTTACCATCAACATTAAATATCTCTTGGCATTTATTAAAAAGGTCTGTAGCATTTTTTACTCTTTTGGTGAGTACTGGATCATTTACAAAATGTTTACCAGTGCCTGGTGGGGTTGAACAAAATAAGCAGCAAACTGATGTACTGGTACACTTTTCACAAGCTGAGTGCCCACAAGGATATCTCATATGTAGGCCACCAGAATTGTCACTAAAGCAAAAAAATAAAGAAAATTGTTGTTCAAGACTACATCTTATTATTATGAATATATTCAATTACAAAATTGTTTTTACCAAATAGCACACCGACTGTTTTCAAACAGCTGTTGTGAAAGTTCAATCACTACGTTGATGTTCAATTTTGGCAAATTATACATGACCAATTTAGCATTTCCGCAATAGGTGACTGTCTCAAGTCTCAAATATAATAAGTGTATAATCTATGGTTGACTGTCATCCATGATAGGTAGTTCCACAGACTAATGCAGATTGTTACGGTACCAACCATATTTACCACCTACCTACTTACTGAATTTTGCCCCCTTTTTTTTATTTTTGGATTTTTTTAGTTATTTGTCCGTCGTTTGTTCGTTAATATTCGAATGTAAAAATTGTTTGTTCGTCTTTTATTTATTTATAATTAATTAAACAAATGATCACCCTTAACTTGGCCTCTCTTACTAGGTATCTTTATTTTTATCGCTCAGATTAATTAACTTTGATCAATTATCGTTTGTTCGTTGACTATTGGTGATTGTTCGATCATAAAAAGAGTTAAATTCCCAATTATTAACTATTTTATATCTATTAAACAAACTATCACCTCACGCCTACATTGCGCATGCGCCGGTTTCGTCAGTCAGCTGGCAATGGCCGTATTTACTAGCGTTTGGTTAACAAGTGCGTTTATACTGTCTAATTATTTCTTATGTAGATCAAAAAAATACTTAAAACTTTTATCATTCCAACAATATCGAACAAACGACGAACAAATATTTAAAATTAAAAAAACGGATAATCAAAAAAGTGGGGCCAAATTCAGTGAGCCCTACTTAATCATTTGGGTAAGTACAAACAATAAATCCTTCTTTTTATGGTTCTCCATTGGACAGGCAAAGGGAAAAAACATATAGTTAAGGCAGCACAGTCACTGTAACAATATTAACTCAAATAGCTTCTGAGATGATTAATCAAGGAATAAAATAAAATAAAATAAAGTGGATTGAGCTCAGAAGTTAAAAAAAGAAAAAATTGGTTTGGAACATTTTATTACTTTTTGCTAATCCTAGCCCCAACAAGGCCAGTGCTTCGCTGAATTTACCGCTGGATCGGGATCGCGACTCACTGAGAAGATCCAGCGAGAAACTCAGTATGCTCAGAATTTACTCCGAGCTAATTTTATTTAAATTTTAGGGACGAGGCCAAGAAATGGCTCTTTCATATATGCTAAACAGCTATTGTGCCACTATTATTATCCGTTTAATCTGCGAGAAACACTTTAGTTTCAAATTAAAACTATTCACACTTGACACCTCGCATTCCCGCTCAAAAATGTCGATACTGAATCTGAATTTTTAACAATATGTCACCAACCTTAGCGTAGCGTTTTTACGCCATTTTACGCCTTAAACTAATCTGTGTTTCGATTTCTATGGTCTAATCTTTGACTGAAATAACAAATATAGAAATTGTTGTTGACTGTTGTTATTTGAATTTAAAACAAAAATGTAAACAAAATCTTGGACAGTAAGATGAGTGGAATTAATGATTACAAACACTTTTTCCCTATTGACGGCATACAGAAAGTATGCGATTTATTTGAAAAACAGCTACGCAGTGACAAAGAGGCGGATTTAGCATTATTCTCCATTATTGTCGGTGCGGTTGAAAACAATTTAACAAATATTAAAATAGGTGATAAAGATGTGAATTTGCATTCAAATAATTTCGTGAAAATGAAATTTCCATGTATTGAATGGGATGAAGTGCGTTCGCTTCATGAACGATTTGTTAACCTCATGCGTACCGGCGTAGATGCAAAGCTCCTGAGTGGCGCTTACGCTACAAGAGATTTAGTTAAAAAGGTTGCGGACGTCGTCTGGAATTCATTAACTCGCAGTTATTACAAAGACCGGGCGCATTTGCAGTCTATTTACAGTTTCTTAACAGGCAATAAGTTAGATTGTTTTGGTGTTGCATTTGCTGTTACTGCTGGTTGTCAAGTACTGGGTAAACAAGACGTACATCTCGCTTTGTCTGAAGATCATGCCTGGGTAGTTTTTGGACAAGATGGAAAGGAAACGGCAGAAGTAAGGTTCATACATTTCTAGTCTTTACTTTTCTTTAAGGTAGATTTTACTTAATGTGGTACTTTATTCCTAATACTAGTCATATACCTGCATTAACAGATAAGAACATTTTCTTAGAAACTTAATTTTTTTATTTATATTTGCTTTTCGCTGTCAGCATTGAATTCAATAAATACTTTGGTCTTGAAAGTCAACAATACCAGATTTATATATTAAACTTAGTAGTTTTTTTTTTGCACTAGATGAGTAAACTAGGTCACAACTCACCTAAAGCCAATAGACAACAATATGGATCCAGCCAACAACCACATGAGGTTGAAGTTTCTATTTATATAAGTAATTTGTGAATATTTCTAAGTAAATATTTATTTGGAAGGATTGCCACCCACATGTTGGATTTAAATACTAGGCATAGGCCCATTGCTCAATATGACTAAACTGAGCATCTTATTCTTGAGCCAGTGCTGACTTCTACTAAATAATATAATAATTATTAAATTTTTTATTATTATGATATCGACCAACTTTGATAAAGTTCAATATATATTTATTAACATTATTACATAGATTTTTAAAGTAGCAATAAAATTATGAATCCTAAATTGTTATGAAAAATTTCAAAGGTTAGAACACTATAATAGCCTGCTCATTCTTATTAATAGTTCCAATGCTGATGTCACAAATGGTTCTTGAAGGTATATGTTGAAAACTTTTTGGATAGTTTTTATCTCTAGAATGCAAATTTAAAATATCTGTGATTCAATAATTTTCCATAATATTAGGTGACTTGGCATGGTAAAGGCAATGAAGACAAAAGAGGCAGGTCAGTCGGAGATGGTGTATCAGCTCGGTCGTGGTTGTACGTTGCAGGGAAACCAGTAGTATGCACAAGGGTAATGGAGTTGGCAGCACTGGTATCGTCAATTAATACAACTTTAACTCAAACTGTGGATGTGCATGAAGTAGCTCAAATGCAACATAAACTCCTCTGGTTACTTTATGATAGTGGTAATACTTAATTATTAATTTCTAAATACCTATTAATATGCTTAAATGTTTATAATTAAACAAGCTATGGGTTTTGAAAGTCGTCGTGGCCTAAAGGATAAGACGTCCGTTGCATTCGTATCTAGCGTTGCACCGATGTTCGAATCCCGCAGGCGGGTACCAATTTTTCTAATGAAATACGTACTTGACAATTGTTTACGATTGACTTCCACAGTGAAGGAATAACATCGTGTAATAAAAATCAAACCCGCAAAATTATAATTTGCGTAATTACTGGTGGTAGGACCTCTTGTGAGTCCGCGCGGGTGGGTACCACCGCTCTGCCTATTTCTGCCGTGAAGCAGTAATGCGTTTCGGTTTGAAGGGTGGGGCAGCCGTTGTAACTTACTTGAGACCTTAGAACTTATATCTCAAGGTGGGTGGCGCATTTACGTTGTGGATGTCTATGGGCTCCAGTAACCACTTAACATCAGGTGGGCTGTGAGCTCGTCCACCCATCTAAGCAATAATTAATGATAATGGTTAATACCTATTTGGCAAACATGCAAATGCAATAGTTATATTATATATATTTAAGATACTCATACTTGATGTTAATTGGTTACAGGAGCCCATAGACATCAATGTAAATGCCATCATCCAACTTGAGATATTAAGATAGTCTTAATTGAATTGTATAACAGCTGTCTCAGCTTAGAAACCAAAACAAATTACTGCTTAATGGTAGAAATAGTGACGTGATGATGACAGTAGCCACAGTAACTAGAATAATTGTTTCATGGCTTTTCTTGATATAAATCCTATGTCTGTTTCATAAATTCTTTAAATCATCATGTTACAAAATCAATAAATTTCTGTACTACATTTTAGGACATTTGGATGCATACCCAATGGCATTGGGCAACTTAGCTGATCTAGATGATTATATGAAAGTACCAAACATAACAAAAGAAAATAATACAACCTCAAGTACTGATGATATCTCCAATGTACAAATGGACAATACACAGAGACCAGATGTAGCTGGGCTTTATGCTCAGGCTATTAAATCTGCTAAAACATATTATGATGATCGACATGTTTATCCTTACACACTCCAAGGAGGATATTATCACCGCCAAAAGATGTATAAAGAAGCGTTCCATGCCTGGGCATCAGCTGGTGACGTTATTAGGCAGTTTGTATACTTATTCACTACATAATTAAATATTGATGATGTATCTATGTCCATTTTAAACTATAAACACAAATAGTTTATATTATAAATGCATGATATTCCAAATAACAAATTGAAGTCTCAAACTAATTTGGTCTCTGATTCAATACACTGCACAGAAAATTTTCTGGAAAAGGACATTAGATCAAGGAAAATTTCCAATATAAAAAACCATGTTTGACAAAAATCTTTACATTGCTCATAATGTAACAATTAGAAATGAATTGATGTCTGGGAATTATGGTTTCGAAAGACTGGAAGCCAACTAGTATTTTCCTTTGTGACATATTGCAGTATAAATATTTATGCTTATTTTAGTATAGTTGTTGCACAGTATGACCACACGTGGCCTTTATTTGTAGTTGTAATCATAAATAAACATTTTCGTTAGTTTACTAGTAGTGGTGTGCACTGGTTCTCAAAAACCCGTTAATCACCAGTTAGGTTAGGGTGAGTACCGGAGTTTAATCGGTGTTTCTCGTAACTGGGTTATTTGATTGGCAAAAAACAATAGCTTCAGGTACAGACTACAGAGTTAATGTAAGAAAAATTGTAAACAGTGAGAAAAAAGTGTGACACGTGGCTTCAAAGCAACATTTTAGATAAGTACGTAAGCAGTACATCCTAGTAATAGGTGGGTAATTGAAGTATTTTTTTCCCTCTTAAAGATTGCTCTTAAATTTTTATCTGTACCCGGTACTTCCGTACCTTCAGAAAGATTATTCTCCACTGCGGGCTACACAGTTAGTAGTCGACGAACAAAACTAATGCCTGGAGCTGTGGAGATGCTTTGTTTTTTAAACAAGAATATAACATTACTTGACGAATGAAGAAAAAAAAAAGGAATTATTGATAGAAAAATTCGAGT